ACCACTGGTTGCAGGCCACAAATTCGCGCAAACAGAGCAATCCATCTCTCCGAGCGTATCATTAACTTGAAGCCCCGGCGATGAACACATTTGTCCATGCAAGCTGGGCTCAAGAACTCCTCGATCTTCCAACGACCAACAAACTCATTGTAGTTTTTTGTTATTTACCCGGTTTTTTTTGCACAAACGGCAAAACGGCCGCAAATTAGCATAATTAGTGCAAAACATGCCCGCAACTAAAAATAAAATACATATTAATGGAAACAACCACACAAAGTCCACAAAAAAAAACACACACAAAATGCAAAACGACCAAACGACCATAAAAATCATAAAACAAAAACGACCATACGTTTTTGGTATAGTGGGAAGGTCCAGGCTGGTTGCAACTAGATCAGAATGAACCATGCTTCAGGCAATGTATCCTCAACCAGAAACACTTCCTTTGAGTAGGCCAACACAGCTCAATCCTGGATGTTCTTCCTGTTTGGATGTGTGAGACTTGTGCACCAGTTTCAATTGATCAGTGATCACCCGCGCCCTTCGTCCCATCCGCGCTCCGACCCTCTGCTCCGCTGGCTCCAGGTCCTGACCCGACCCACCTGGCTGTATCGGTGGCCAGGGGTCGGGCGCCCCAGAGTGTCCGCGAGGTAGGGTTCACTGGGCGTTCGACAGGATGGGGATGGAGGATGTGAAGTGAGAGGGGGACAAAGGCGATGGAGGGCGAGAGAGCTAGTGAAAGAAATGGGTTGCAAGACAGCCCAAACCCGGCACCGTGCGTACATGGACATAGAGGGGCGGTATGGACGTTGATTTGGTCCACCAAGTCTATCTCAAAGCCACTTGATTTGGGTGCACTAGCCGTCTAGCATCGTTTATAGCCATTAGGTGCTGAGACTGCGGTGCAAAAGGAGGACATGATTGCAGTTGGTATAGTCGGCTGGATTCCGTTGAGAAGTCCATTTCCAGGAGACACTTGCAGTTTGGCCACATCCGCCGTCTTCCATGGGTCACGACCGTTCCACGCACCAATGACCGCTGCAGGCGCTTGAATTGCGCCCGGCTCCGCGCCACCCAGGCTGCTCCGAAGAGCTGGCAGAGCGCGGCCAAAGCCGAAGGCTGTGACGTTGGACCTGCCAGCGCGTTTGGGTTGCAAAAGCGAACGGCTTGTTTTGGGCTGAACGAGCCCAGAAAATGTGCATCGATTTGCAGACGGATTTTATGGAATGGATGTTACGCGAAACGAGTGGCGGAGAGATTTGAACAATCAGTCTTTGCTTTACACTGGGCTATCCCAGTCATTCCCAGTCTATCCCGTTCTCATGTTGTCATAAAACTTGGATCACTGATTTTGGCCACCGGGCCCATTTGACCGGCTTCGACACCAGTCTTGATGACAATACATGTGCCCTGCCTTCTTCCAAATCACTGTAACCAGTCAACCTTTTGTTGCTCTCTCCTCTCTGGACCTGAGGACCTGAGAACCCGACTTCAATTACCTTAGACACAGCCATGATTTTGAACTGAGCTATATATAGCGCTCGCTACATTCAAGCGAATTCCATAAAGGCTCAGAGTGGATGTGAAAACTAATTACTTCTTGCTGGGAAGATTCGCATCATATCGAATCAGTGGTCCCCAAACGTCCCAACCGTGACGTTCATGGCGGGCAGGCCCTTTCTCCGCCCGATGTGACGTGCCCTCCGATGTGGTGGTGCCCTGGCGAATGGAGAATGAAAAAAAACATGTTGAGGCTGAAGAACAAACAAACTGTAACGCCACAAGCTACTAGTGACATCTAGTGACAGGGAATCGCAACTAGGAGCAAGGATGCTACTAGTAGCAAGGGCACTACTAGTACATAGCAAGAACGCTACTAGCAGCTCCTGGCATTACTACTAGGAACAAGAAGCTACAAGCAACAAGGGCATCGCTACTAGTAACAAAGGGCATTACTATACTAGTACTGCGGCACCACATCTGTGCATATCTGTGGTATCTTGTGGTGCACAGCGCGTCGCTTCTCTCTGTTTAGCCTAATCTATAAGTGTCTTCCTGTCAGGTGAAGCTTACACAAACATACACAAACAATGTCAATAATAATATTTGTACAAGGAAATAGACTATATTAAACTATAGTCTTCATGGAGGTGCCACTTTCCTCTGTGGAGCCAATGCTTGGTCTGCAGACAGCAGATCCTTCTTTTCCTTGAACAGCCTCACCTATGAAACAACACCCAGCACCATGGTTACGGGGTGGTTATTGAATGGAACATATAGGCAGGGGTGTCCATAACCTACCCCAATTCCGTGACCCATCGGCCATCCGACAGAGTTCCATAGCTTTATAGGCATTTCGACGATTTCGGCACGGATTGCCTCACCGCCTCGCTGGCTTGCATGTCAAGCCAACCCATTGGCCAGTGAAGATATGTGAAGATACCCAGGTAGACAACGTTGGTGGAGAAGGATCGTTGGGATCCAGTCCTAGTCCTACCTTCGATTTCAATTTCGAAGGTAATGTTGGATCTTGAATAGCAAAACTAACCCCTTCCCCCTAGCAAACAATGGAGAGTGAACAGATGTGAACAGAGTAAACTATTGTGGGAATAATTGTGCGAAAGCTTTTTCCAGTGGATCCAGTTATGTACTATATTGTAGGCAACCAGTGGTTCCATAGACTTAAACCGTAGACCTAGAACCCCCGGTTCTTCAAAACAAGTGCTTTTCCTGGGTTTTATGATCCCCTCCCATCGACCATTTCGGGATGCGACCGTCTACGGCTTCCACCAGCGCCGTCAAAAGCGCCCAGGAGATGGTTGGCCGGAAATTGTTCGTGACCTACTCGCCCAATTGTCGCCAGTTCCCATCACAAGGCACCCATCATTTGGATGTGGAAGATCTCCAGGATGCGTTGAAATGCGTTGAACACCAGGGCATGACGATGTTGTTGGAAGGACCGAAGGCGAACAAATCACAAGCCTCGGGGGAGCAAGGGATCGTATGTTCAGAGCAGTGATGCTGTGATGCTTGAATCATCTGTATTTAACTTCTTGCGATCAGTTTGCAAAATGCGATGCGATAATTTTCTGGCATGTTCTGACCGAACGAAGTCCCTGCAGAGGCACTTAGTCGATGTCTTTTCTCAAATGCCGTTACAACCCCCCTGACACGTTCCGTGGGACATCCTGGGACCACGCAGCTTCATAGACATGGATCCATCACTCATGTCCTACACCCCTCACGTCCCAACGTCCCGTCTCCCATCCACTCCCCACGCTTCCCCACGCAGCTTCCGACCCCCCCGCAGCTCGACCGCAGGTCACTGGGTGCAGCTCGTGGTGGCGCCCTCGCTGGACGCGATTTGGCCCTCGGAGGCGGCCGATCGGGTCTCGTCTGGGTCCAGAACGGGCGAGACCGGTCGCGGTTTTGGGATGGTGGAGAAGGGGCGAGGGAGTGAAACTGACCGAAGGTGTCAATGGGATGTGGTTTGCATGGCAATTGGGGAGGAAGAATGAACATATAAAATGAAAAATGGTGAAGAAATAGAGGGATCAAGGGCAGACATGCCATGATCAGTTGCTATGAACAGTGTTCGCCCACAACATCCATAAAACTGGAGTGTCTTCACTGCGATACATGACACATCACCTGGCCTGTATTCTACATGCACTGCGCAACACTGCGCAGCTCTTTTTCTTCGCGCCACAGGTCGTGTATGATGCCACTCAGCCAACCAGAGTGACGGCCAGTGGCAGAGGCGGCAGAGAGAAGCGCAATGGGAGACTGGCGGGGGGGAATTGAAGCATCCAAGTACCTTCTCAGAAGGTGATTGGAGACATCGTCAGGAAGGAACAGGTGCAGTCTTTGGCAAGGACACCTGATGGCATCCAAACGGCTTTAGCTGCTGCCGCTGCCAAGCCCGTTCGCTCTTTTTGGCTGCCTACCGTGTGCAGATCTTTATCGAAACTGTTTGGGCAGGAGGTGGTATGCACGAATGTTATGTCGAATCTGAACCCTAGCCTTCACAGACCATTAAAAGAATGGTTGACCTGGTGGTGTTCTTTGGTACAGACCATTAAAGCAATGATTGTTCGAATCCTCGAGTGAATGCTCTACAGTTCCAAATTATCTTGAATGTGTTCAAGAAATCTTCAGCCATCTTCAGTCCTATACCCTAAGAATCCAGATCCTCAAACACAGGTTTTGGTTCGGGTCCGTTTTCCCCCTGCGTTTCGGTGTCGGGTCCGACCTCTGGGTGGTCTATATCTGTTCAGATATAGACCAATTCGATCACTTCGGATGAAGATTGCCTTCATTTGGTGAAGCATCTGAAGGATCCGTGATCCATTTGTGACGTCAGTCGAGTCTGCGAGGCTTCCGGGGCGCTGGAACCGGCCAGATGCGGTTCCGAGTGGCCGGGCGATTGGCCATCGGCCTGCAGGCAGGAGGATGAAGAAGATGGGTTGGAAGCTGCATTGGAGGAGGGGCTGTACTTAGCCTCTTGTAACACCAAAAGGGAGACTCCTAGCGGCCGAGCGGCGGAGCGAGCGGTCCAACTTCTCTTCATGTTCTTGCCAGGGAGGGCCTTGGACTTTGGACCGGGCGTGGCACAGGTGGCACCGAACGACGGTGATGCATGGTGGACCGACCGAGACATGGGGTGCAGCGGTCAGGTCCACAATGACTCGGTGGTCTCCTTTGTGCCGTCCGGGGGACCCGGTCCCCGGAGAAGTGCAGGGACCGATGAGGTGGATGATCCATCGAGGTGAGAGAGAAAGAAGCGACAGCAGTTGACTCAGAAGGCGGCAGAGGTTGACTTATGAACATTCATGACCCTCACCACGGAAGTGCTGAAAGAGAGCACAGGAGACTAAAGTCTTGGCATCGGTCCTTGTGGTGGAAAACATGCAGGTGACTGGAGAGATTCTCAGATTGTTGATTGTATTATATGCCAAGCTCCCAGAGGCTCAGAGGAGAGGGATCTTCACCATTTGGAGGGCATCTACGGTATACCAGGCTAAACTGGTCTCTCCAAGAAACGCCTTTGGTCTTCGGACGGAGCACCGTGCTCCGTCCGTTCGACGCCAATACAACGCCCGAGGCCAGCGCCCCCCTTGCGTTCGCCAGACCTGGCGAGTGAGGCGGGCAGACCGTGGTCCGCCACACCGAGTTCAAGTTCAAGTTCGGGTGTTTTTTTTTTTTTGAATTTCAATCGTGATCGGTGTTCATGAGGTGATTGAGACGTTTTTCATGGTGTTCATGAATGGGATATCCGGATAAATTAATGAAGCATTACTTAGCATCGACCACAGAAAAGGGTGGTTTATGGACACACCTGACTACTTAGTATAGTTATATGTTCCATCCTATAACCACCCCTTCTGTGGTGCTGGTATAGGTCAAGTCTTAGCAGTTGAATTGGTCACTGTTGGTGTGCAATAAGAGTTGGTGAAGTTGTTGCTGTAGTGATGGCCACCCTGCTGTGAGGGATTTCTTTGACCATAACGGGTCCATACTGGTTTGTTTCAGTGGTTGCAAGAATAACACGACAAATCAATCATCAATCAACATTTCCTCTAACTCTTCGTTGGCGCTTCTTTTTTCACTTTCTAAGCTCAGCGAGCTACTTGAAACGCATTCTGAGGCTTTCTTGATCGAGATCTCAATGGACGGGGGACTCTATTGGCTGAGCATCTCGTCCCTGTTCTGCGCTCGAAAAGCGGGTGGTAAAGGAATGAGCTGAGTGGACCAAACATCAGAAAAAAGAAGCAAGTTGCCAGATGCCAGCAGTTGCCAGGGCACGCAAGGATGGTTTGAAGGAAATCCAGTCCTTCCGTGAAAGCGTCTGCAACTCCGGAATGCGACAGGGTTCTTTAGGTCTGAAGGGTCGGCCGTGGATGTGACAGGCCGGTCTCCGGATCCTGGAAGTTCGGCCAACTCCGAAAGTGCTGGTTTTTACCTTCTAAGGTGCCGAGCCTGAGTGACCTCTCTTTGAGACCATCAACCACAGTTAACCACCCTAACACAATATATAATATAATATATATATGTTTAGTTATAATATATATATATATCCTTTTCCATCAACAACAGAGGTCCCAAAATGAGTTGCCTGTTGGTACCTGCAAACATGCAAACAGAGGCTCTCAGTGCGGTCCGGCAGTCCCTCCGATTTGGGTCCGAACGCATCCGAAAAAAGTTTTTGAATGCAATGTGCACTGATCTGGCGAACTAGTGGAGTTAATGGCGCCTTTGTGATCTGGAAGACCGGAAGTGGCCCCAGGATGCCCCCACCTCTAGGCTGTGAGGACCATGCAGGATTAGATTGCTTCTCATGAATTCTCACGTGCACTTTGTCAAGACGTATTAAACCAAGAACAGCAACATTGTAGTTACACCGTGATATTGCTGACAACAAAGGGAGTTTGTTGCTACGAATCTTTTCAGGAAGCATCGTGCTCACATGCACCCATCTGAATGTTTATCTTCCTTCCTGTCCTTTCAAACTGTCCATTCCTTCTTCACCCGCCCTTGTCCGTATGTCCGAAGGTTTCTGTCGGGGCCACTGCACTGTTTCTCCTGCCACCCAGGGCCTGCACTTCTGGTGTGAAGCTTATCCTTCCCTACCCAACACTTTGTAGTGGTGTCCCACTTATTATGTTTTGGTGTTGTTTTATGAGAAGGCAGCCAACGCGTGCACGCACAAGTGCAGACATACTCTGTTCTTTTCTATGTTTTTTGTCCCGATGGAATGTCGCGGATTCTGGTCCGTCCGAGGCCGTCCTTTGCTAAGTGTTTTTGCTTTCTTTGACCTGGTGGATGTGCAGTGTCCTGCCCGACGCCCCGTGCCGTACGAAGGCGTTTTGTTGTCGTCGTTGTTGCTGTTGTTGTGGTGGTTTTGGCTCGGTCTGTGGTTTTCTCGGCATCGCTCTCCAAGGCACTGGGATCCAATTGACCTACAAGCACCTTCCAGTCGCTTCGGTCACGAGAGCGCGTGACCGTGATTCCTAATAGCTTCTTGCTATGTTCGTAGCCTCCTTGCTCCTAGAAGTAATGCCAGGAGCTACTACGTAGTAGCCACCTTGCTCCTAGTAGTAATGGCCTCCAACCTAATAGCGATGGCCTCTACCCTGGTATAGCTTCTTGCTCCGTTCGTAGTGATGCCCTTTGTTCCCAATCTCCGGAATCCGAACGCGTCGAAGTTCCGGCATGTCGTCGCGTCAGCGATGCGTCGTGACGACTGCAGCTGGGCTTGATTGACTCACAAGAAGGGGGATCATTCAACTCCAAAATGTTAACATCCAAGCGACTGGGGTTGTTGAAGAGAGTACTCACTATATAAGCAGAAAGCATCCAACGGAATCTTTTGCATGCACGTGTCATAAGCCATCGCTCGATTTTGCTGCCAGGTACATGAAGTGTGCGGTTGAAACAGTGGGATTCATGAAGCCGGGAGTGGAACTCCATAGGAACAAGGACGCTACGATCGGGGCTCATGGCCTTACTAGTACCTTTTTTTCGACCTATAATAGCATTCATAGCGATGGCCTCCAACCTAATCCAGCGGAGTGAGGACACCCCTGTTCTCGCTTTCGAATCCCCCCCCGGCACCCTTGGAAAGCTGATTCAGCTTCTTCAGCTCGTGGAATGTATTTGAGTACCCCATGTGTCGACCACCTGACTGAGCAACTCATCTATAGAGAGCTTCTGTGTCGCTTTGCGTCGGATGGATCTGGCGCTTAGGCCATCTATGCACTGTCGCCCACGCTCATTGTTTTAGGGGAGCTGTGGGGGGGTGGAGGGCTGGAGCTGGGTGTGCCGAAGCAAATTGCAGAAGCTCTTTGATGTATAAAAGACTTTATGTCTCATTATATGACATGATGCTTGGCTGTTTATGGTCCCCTATGGGTCTCCTGATCCTTACAAACATTACAAACTGACAAGAATTGCTGTTTGGAATCAACCACCTCGAAAAGCATGTGTTACATCTATATGCAGTCCTTTTGTGTAACAAAAGGATACCAAAAGGAGGGTATACAGATGTATGCCAAAAGCAATCGTTGGAACCAGTGAAGTCCAGGTGGAAAGGGGGTTCCTGGAAAGTCCAGTCAGAGAAGTCGAGGATGCTCCCCGTTCGATCAACGGTGCCTTGAACGGGGTTCGATCGGGAAGTCGGAAGTTCACAGGTCGTGACAGGTCAGCTGCTTCTGGCAGTTTGCTGAATGATTGCAATCCATCTCCACAGAATCTCCACCATTGTAGGGGGGGTGTGGGGTGTGTCAGCTGTCGTCAGCTGAAGTCGGACCAGGAGGCCTTACAGCTGAACATTTCCGGAGCTCTGACCTTCGCGGGAGAAGTGGCACGGGAGTCCCGGAGACGGACCTCCCGCGCACTCGGTCGATGACCGGAACTGGGTCGAAGGGGTGCGGAGGGCGATGAACCCGATCCTGAAACGCATGTGGGCGAACTGGCATGTGGGTGGCACCAGCACAACCGGGGCCCCATGGGCACGATGACCTCGTAGGTGAGGTCCAAGTTCGCTACATGGTGAGGTTCAAGTCGTGCGGCGGAAGAGAGCGACATGACCGTGGATGCTAGGAGGTTTGAGCACAAGATGTTTAAGACCTGCCCAGACGCGACCCTGGGCCCTCATATGGAGGGGTCGGACCCGAATCCTCTGGAGGGGTCTGGGGTCGAACCAATCCATAGGCTTTGAGGGACCAAGGGCCAATGTGTTAAATGGATCTTATAAGTTGTTACGGTTAATTACGTCTATAAGTCGCCATGATCCATGCCCGAAGTTCACACGGCAGAGTTGAGTGGAGTTGAAACAGCTACGCTAGGTTTGGCTCGCTTCGTTCTGGGACATTCTAGGGGAACCACGATTTCCGCATGACTTCCGCACGTTCCTTTCCCTTTGAGGACCAACTACTATATAGTAATATATAGTAGCTAGAAGCTACTAGGTGGAGGCCATCGCCATTAGGGTGGAGGCATGTGGAGGCCATCGCTACTAGTAACAAGAAGCTACTAGTAGCTAGAATGAGGACCGTACCCAGGAGGAGCCAAGCTATATAGTGATGAGCCTTTTTTGTTCCCAATTGAGTGCCAGACCGCTGGGTCACCACACGTGTCACCGGAATATGAATCCACATGACCTTCGGAGAAGGTGATTGGAGACTACGTAAGGCGCCTGGGTCAGGTCCAGTCTTACCAACTCTGAGAAGGACGCCTCCACAAAAGTCACCGGACGCAGCGATCAAGCAAGCCGAGCGGCGCGCCAACAAGCCGAGCGCTCGCGCGCGCTCAGATCTCGCTACAAGCGCCACCGTTGCATCCTCTACCCAGCAAAGTTGAATCTATATATGGACCGATGCAGGCATGGCCCGGATGGCACATTTTGGGGAGAGGATGGGGGGATGCGCCCGTTGTGGCTCGAATTGCTGGGATCTTCAAGAAGCCTTGGCGGTTTTGGAAGCATTGTAAGTCGTTTTACTTCTTGGTTAGATAAGATTGCTGAATCCTTGCTGATTCATTTACATACCTCTAGGTGTGTCGAAGCAGGTACTGTTGATGGAAGAAATCCTACCGCGGAACAGCTCCAAGTCATACACCAGAAAATGATATCATGTTCCTCCCGCGTGATGTTCCCAAACATTTCTCACCAGTCGGACTAGAACATGAACATGCCCCCCTGAAAGTACAAGACTATTTTTAAAGTGGTTGAATGAGCTGTTTTCATAGAGGAAGACCATGGTGGTTCTGCAAACACCTCAATTTTATTGTAGTTGCCATATGTTGCCATGGAAGCTTAGGGTGTCATTTGGATCCAAAACAGGGACATTGAGGGCTGTTTTTCAGCAGGTCGGTTTGAGATAGGTTTGAGCCATTGGTTTTGGTCCTTTTGGAGTCATGGGTTAAGGCATGATAAAGCCACATGCTTTCACTGTTTTTTTCCTGCTTGGACTTTGATGCACTGACATGTTACATGTTGGTCGCCGTTGGCTTGACAAGCAACAGCAAGAAAGTGGGAAGCATGATGAACTACGATAAAGTTTATAATCACTTAATATATGAAACTGTCATCTCCATGTTTGCACGCTGCACCACACCACTCGACGAAGAATGAATTCATCTCCAGGATCCCACCGCTGGCCACGTCGTTTCGCGAGCCTCTACGACCGTCGGGCTGTGCGTCGCGGATTTTCCGGTCGGTCTGTGCCACGAACATCTCATCACGCAGCCCGGTGACGGTCTGCGCCATGGTGGAAGCTGACATGAACAGTTTTCAAGGCCTTTTACGTCAGCTGGAGCAACATCATGCCAAGGAGGCCCGGGGTTCCTGGGAGTGGGGACTAAGAAGTGTGAGGAGATGTGAGGAGGGAAGACACGAAAGCCTTGTGGATGTTTTTCTTGCGGGATGAGGTTTTTCATTGGTTGCTCCATCTTTCTTTGGTGTTTTTTTGCGGTGGACAGTTTGTGATGTCAGCTGTGGAAAGCTTGTGGTTGAAATAAGCCAGCGATCATTGGTCATGTTTGTAATCTTTGGAACGAACCGCTGATCATTTCTTGCTCATTGGTCCCCCCCCATCCAGATGCATCCATATGCATCCTATTTTCTCTCTTGAATAAGACCGTCAACTCTTCCTCCGCAGACCGGCGCTCTCCCCAACGGCCCAACTGGACGGCCGAAGACGCCCTCCAGGTGGCCGAATTGCACCAAGAGATCGACGCACTGAAGGCAGGTTACGGGACCGCGGGCCTGCAGACTCCCACCCCAGAGCTTCGGGAAGGCGGCGGGCGAATCGCGGTGCGACACGGAAAATCGCACACTCGCAGGTGGGTGTTAGGAAGTTTGATGGAGCCAAACTCAAGGCCTCAGGTTAAGTCGGTTAAGTGGTTTTTGAGGTTTGTGGGCCGGAGACACCTTTTCGTGGCCCCGTTTGGGGGGAAGGTCTTGCTGAATCTCGAAATCTGCTAAACTTGGAAACCTGCATTGTCGAAAAAGACCACGGTCATCAATATGTCATCATATTTGATTTGTTGGATCCAAATTTGTGTCTCAATGTAGACGGTTTAAAAGAAGACCTGGTCCAACATCTCCTTATAATGGACAAGTTGTTTTTATTCGTTTTTTATTTGTTTCCTTAAAAGACAACCCCAGAAGCCGGGAACTGTCCTCAATCGATCCATGTCGAACACCAGGTGTCCTGTCGATCGGTCCCGTTTTCCTGGGATCGGTGTCGTTTTCCGAGTCACCAGAGATCCGGGAATCGATGTTGTGTGGTGTGGCGCCACCCATGTGAAGTCTGGCAAGTGCGACAGAAAGAATAGGTGTATTGGTTTGAAGTGAGTTGCTCCGGTGCTGTCTTTTTTTCCAAAGCGGAGGTGGGAGTGAATCCCTAGCTTGCCCAAGTGAATGAATCTTCCAGAAAACTCAGCGATTACATATAACTATAGGGCGATACTGGGCAATGCTATTCTTATAGTAAAGACGGATTCCAGTGTGTGTATATATGGTTCAATAAGTGCTTCTTTCGCATCTTCAACAGACGTTTGATTCTTTACGGAAGACACCGGTGTCTGCCCCGGAATGTATCCCATCTCCCGTCCCGGAGGCACAGGCCAACAAGGCCTGGGTTTGTGACAATTGGTCGTTCGGCTCTGGAGGTGAGTTGTGTTGTGTTTCAGTTGTTTGTTTTTTTTGGGGAGATGTTTGGTGTGTTTTGGTGGGGTGTTTTGTTCTTCCAACTTCGCTTCAGAAGTTGGGGTATGATGTTCCATTCTAGCAGGTTGTGAGACGCAAACAAGATTTCATGTGATCACTATGCAGATCTTTCCTTGCTACAATCACCTACAAGACACAGTCCAAGGCTGATAGTTTTCCTCCCAAAGATCAAGGCAGAAACTCAATATTAAATTGGAAACGCACACTGGGACAACTGGAGAGGGACCTGAGACTCGTCAAGATTGCTATAGTATTGATGTTGGGTTCTTGAAAGTTGAAAGGTTCTGATTTTTCTTAATCTAAGACTAGCGATCCACGATCTCACACCTCATCAATATGGTATTCTTTGAATATTCTTTGGGAGTACTATGCTTGGATGTGGGTCAAACACAAAGAACTGCACGTAGGGTTTTGACGTCCACTACCCGACCAGCTTGTGTGATAGGGAGCAACAATTGTTCCATAAGGTCAAACTGTCCGGGATTGCACAGAACTGTCTTTATGCCAAACTTTGGCCAATTTGTGGAGAATTACAAACTTTGGCATTTGTTCCTGAGCAAGACCACCTGATGAATCAGCGCAAACACATACCTTACTTCGAGTGATTCCCACCCTGAGAGGCAACTTGGAAGAAGGCAGGGCACACGTATTGACAGACTATCTTGACTATCCGCACCAACGCTGCCTGACATGTGCATTGACACAACGTTTTGACACTTGGCATCAAGTCTGGTATATGTGTTCTGACTCTGACACATCATAGAAGCTGGGAAATGTCCTGGACTGTGATCTAACGTCCTTGTTGTCATGTGTCAATGTCCTGCCGTGAAGTCTGACATGTGCCATGACATATGGTCGATGTCGACTCTGACATGCGTTCTGCCATGCTCTGCCACGTATTCCAACAGTTGTTCTGAAATCAAACCCGCCACTTGTTCCGACGTATGCTCTGACATCGTTTGGAGATATGATTTGGCATTCTACACGGCAAAAAAAAGCTAACCAACATTCTAGCGTGGCATATCTTCTGCCATTCTTTCTATGATGAATTCTTGCATCCTTTCCGGCAGTCTATTTTTCATATTTTCTGGCATTCTTTCTGGCATATCTGCTTGCATTCTACCTGGCCGATCTTCTGACATTCTCTTCGGCATTCTATCTGGCCATATATTCTGGCATTTTTCTGGCATGTATCTGTGGCACACTACCTGGCACATCTTCTGACATCTTGTCTGGCATTCTATCCTACCTTCTCGCGCTCTAACTGGCATATCTTCTGACATTATTCTTGTACATCTTCAGACATCCATTCCGACATTCTAGCTGGCATGTCTTCTGTGGCATTGTATCTGGCATATCGTGTAGTGTAGAATTCTGGCTGGCATATCTCTTGGCACTCTATCCGGCATATGTCCTGGCATTCTTGACGGTGTGGAGGCCCGCGCGTGCCTGGAGTGATTTCGCGCTCTCTATGGCGTGCAGGTCCTTGTGTTCAGACTTATCTGGCGCTCTCTCTATGGTGCGCAGCTGCCACTCTCTATGGTATGCTGGATTGGCATTCGCTGTGACACGACTACGCTGCAGGAGGAGGAGGAGGATGGCGGAGGATAAGGAGGACGACCAGAAACATCTTAAACTTAGGATCATTTAGCGTTCACCTGGCAGGTGGAGAAACCAATGAGCAAAGGAAGAATCTGATGCTGAAAGGGAACCAGCAGGTCCGTGGAAAAATAGGCCAATGCTTTAATACAAGATCACACGGTTAAATCATGTAGTTTCAGTTAAACCTCTTACAGCAGTCTTCCTTTTGTGCTTATATATAAACTCAACTTGTTTGTCCCGAAGAAGTGCATAGGCAAATGTAGCAATCACACCAGGTCGAGCTGCAGGTTTTGACCCCAACGGTCGCACTCACGACGTCATGACAATCAAAAAGAACAGGTAAATTTAATTCTAATAGCTTCTTGTTACTACTAGTAAGGCACCTGTTATTACTAGCGTGGCACTTGTTACTAGTAGCTTTTCGTTTTCGCCAGGTCATCCTGGGCCCTCGACTGGACTTAACGCCACCTGGGAGTGGCTCGGTGAATCGAACGTGGCAGTCAGTAAGGGTCGGTGGCTGCCAACGTGTCGGGAAACAAAAAACGCGTTTCCTCTGGTGTTGGAGAGGATCCGAACACATGGAAACCACTGGAGGCCCTCTGCGAATATTTCAGTTGTTGAATCGGTGTGAGTGGAAAGATGTAGAGTTTAAGAGTATAAAGGATGTCACATGGGTTGAAATGTGTTGCCCATGGTAAGTTCATCCCATTTTTGATGACTGTTCATGACAGTTGTTGCCACCCAGGCCCAATTTTTGTCGTCATTTGGGGTATCGATCTGAAGTCCGATCAACCCATTTCCTTGACATTGCGCTGTAGCCCAAACACATGTTGGGGTTCAATCTGTCACTGAATCATAGCAGCAGAGAGAAGTATAAAGTATATGTTTTCAAAACGTTCCGTGAAAGACATCCAAGAGGTACAGTTCTCTAGGCGAGGCAGCCCTCTGAAATCCACGGTTGGTTCGATGTTGCCATATATTGCTTCCCGTGTTCAACCGCTTTTTCAGTCCATTCCTGCCTATCAAAACAGGGCTTCTCCCATGCATCA